CTTAAAACAAACCTATGACTTCTCTACTTAGGTTTCTCCAACTTACTCTGACCATCCCTTACATCAGGGGCCACTAAACTATGGTTCTCAGGCCAAATCTGTTCTGCCACCTATTTGTATCAAGTTTACTGGAAGACATCTCCTGCACTTGCTCATTTGCATTTTGTCTATGGCTGCCTTCAGGTTACAACAGCAGAACAAGCACAGCTGGCCCCCATATCCACGGATTCTCATCTGTGGATGAAGAAAAAAGCCACAATAAAAAACAATATAAAAATTAAAAAAATACAAATTTAAAAGTATAGTATAACAACTATTTACATTGCATTTACATTGCATTAGATATTATAAGTAATCTAAAGATGGCTTAAAGTATATGGGAAGATGTGAGTAGGTTTTATGCAAATATCGTATCATTTTAAATCAGACACTTGAGCGTCCAAGGATTTTAGAATCTGTGGGGGTCCTGGAACCAATCCCCTGCAGACACCTAAGGACCAATGTAATTGCAACACAAACCACAGGGCCACAGAGCCAAAAACACTTACTATCTGGCTTATAGCCAAAAATGCTTAATGATTCTTGCCTTATGTAATTAATTTATTTTTCTTTCTTCTGTGACGGTAGCCCAATGAATGCATAAAACACAACAGCTTTTCTGGGCATTGAAAGCTTCTAATAGTGACTAGAGAGAATGCCAATCAGACATGGTTTGTTCTTTATGAATTACCTGAAGATTACAGAATATCACCCTTCTCTTTTTAAACTCGATTTTTACAGAAGACTGGAGAAAGAAAATCAACTGTTTGCACTGGTTCTTTCTGGCGTATCTTTCAAAGGTTAATGACTGAAGCCCTCAAGCTGTCTCCTGATTGTTAGCACCTGCCCTGGCTTTTGGCCTACAGAGCTGTTGAATTACCTGAGTTTTCTTGTAGGGTGGTGGGGAAAGGAAGAGAATTTGATCATGCTGCGTATGGTTCCATGACATGTGCATAAAAGCAAACAGAGACATTACCAATCATTAGGGAAATGGAAATCAAAACTACAAAGAGAAACTACTTCACATCCACAAAGATGGCTAAAATACAAAAAGGGCGTCATAACAGGTATTGGTGAAGACGAAGGGAAGTTGGAATCTTACACACTGTAGACAGGAAGGTGAACTGGGTGCTGTTGCTTTGGAAAACAATTTGGCCGTTCCTCAAAACTGTAAACAAAGGGTCACCATGTGATGCAGCAATGTGACTCCTCAGTTTATAACATCCGTTTACACAAGCTGAACATGAATGTTCATAGCAGCATTATTCATAATGGCCAAAAAGTGGAAACAACTCAAATGTCCATCAATTGATAAATGGACAAACAAAATGTTATATATCCATATAGTACCATATTAATTAGCCACAAAATGGAACAAAATTTTGATATATGCTCCAATACATATGAACCTTGGAAATATTATGCTAAATGAAAGAGGCCTTTGATAAAAAGCCATATACTTTCTGAGTCCTTTGTATGAAATGTATGGAATAGACAAATCCACAGAGACAGAAAGGACATTAGTGGTTGCCAGCACTGAGCAGAGGAAAGAGAATGGGGACCGAGTAGCTGCCTTTAGGTATGGGATTTCTTTTGGGGGTGATAGAAACATGCTGGAAATAGTGGTGATGGTTTGCACAACTTTGTGAACATACTAAAAACAACGTATGTATGCATTACGGAATATGAGTTTAATCTCAATAAAGCTACTATTTGAAACAATAGGGATACTATTCAGCAATAAAAAGTAATGACCTACTGATACATGCCACCACACAGACAAATGTTAAGATTGTAACACCCAGTGAAATTCAGGAACACACCAGGGTTACTGGGGTTGAATAAAGGAGTAAAAACTGACTACAAATGGCATGAAGGGACTTGGTATGGTGAGGCAAATGCCCTGGAACAGGACTGCAGTGATGGCCGCTCAACTACAAATTCACTAAAAAGTACTGAATTGTACATTTACAACAGTTGAATTTTCTGCTATGTAAATTACGTCTTTAAAAAAATGTTAGGCTGGTGTGGTGGCTCACACCAGTGATCTTAGCACTCAGAAAGGCTAAGGCAGGTGGATTGCCTGAGCTCAGGAGTTCGAGATCAGACTGAGCAAGAGCAAGACTCTGTCTCTACTGAAAAATAGATAAACTAGCGGATCATGGTGGCACACATTTGTAGTCCCAGATATTTGGGAGGCTGGGACAAGAAGATCGCTTGAGCCCAGGTGTTTGCGTGAGCTATGACATCACAGAGTGAAACTCTGTCTCAAGAGAAAGAAAAAAGCTGTTAAAAAATAAGAAACTTTCCTATACTGCTGGCAGAAGTATAAAGTGGTACATCTAATCCCCTCAGGAAACCCTTGGGCAGTATCTAACCCAACCTGAATATACGTGCACTTACTCCTGGGTGTATACCCAATAGAGGTAAGTCCGCACATTCATAAAAGGCATTTCAGAATTTTCATCATCTCCAAACTATATTCACGTATACTGAGATAAACAAATAAATTCAGGTATAGTCACACAATGGAATTCAGCAGGAAGAAAGAACAAATTAGAACTACATGCAGACACGCAGAGAACTTCCAAAACCAACGTAGGGCCAAAGCAGCAGGATACAAAACAGGGTGGACGAGATGACTCTGCTTCGGTAAAATTCACAAACAGGCAAAGCTAATTTCTGGTAGTAGTTTCCTTTGGCAACAGATAGTGATTAGGAAGGGGTTGGGTGGTGCTGGTGATGAATTCTTGATCTGGGTGTGCATTACTCAGGTGTGCCCAGTTTGTGCAAATCCACCAAGCTGTGTGCATACCGCACTGTACTTTTCTGTATATATCCCATAATATATTAAAAACACAAATGGGATTTACCTAGATATTTATCTCTCTCTGTACCTCTCTAGAAAGATTAGAAAACACTGTAATATTCACACATCTCAAGAGTCAGCAATGAACACCATGATAATTCAAATAAACCTTGAAGAATGAAGAACAGATTCCCTATATTTAAGGAGTGGTCTGTGGCTCTGGTTAAATTCAGAAAAAGCATATTCAGTGTAAGATCTTGTCCACTTTTACAATTTAATGCAACAGAAACCATTATCTACCTTCCCCGAAAAGCCATGCATTTTCTCCGTACAGCTGATATATCATATGCTCAACCCATTTTTCAGCAAAGAGCTTTGTAACTGTTATAATTTCAGCAATCTTATGCTCACTTGTGATATAACACTCCCCCACCCCCCCCACCCCCGTCCTCTACATTCACCTCTCACAAAATAGTCAATCCCCTAGAGGCCTCCTTTTCCCAGGTAAGTCCTCCTCTTGAGATAAGTCCTTCAATTTTGGTCACTTTCTTTATTTTTTTAGCTAGCATTAAAAAAAAAAAATTAGCCCACATGAGATTTTCTATGCCAGCCCAACCACAGATATTCCACAGGTTTGTGAGCTTCTTAATTCTCCCATTGTTCTCAAAGGATGATGCCCTTGACGAATTACAACGGCCCCAAATTACTTGAATCTCAAGCAATGCTCCAGGGAACCTGGCCAGGCTCACTTCTCCTCACTAATCCCAAACAAAATCACACAGGCAGGAAGGAAATGATCACATTCTTCAACTCCTTTTCCTCTTCTTTTAGCTCCTTTACAGATCCAGGAGCTTGGAAAATGGCTCATTTATCATCCAAGTGCATGCCAACACAGTTATTTGTGGAATATAATCTCATTCCCTCTGATCCTACAAAGTTCACACACCAATAAACCGGTCCCTTTTGTTAGGAGAAGGGGCACTCTGGAAACAAAACCTCCCCACACAAGTTACCAAACTAACAATAATGACATAGTCTACTTTCAGTGATGAAAAATCAGACAAACTCTTCCTACCTTATCTAAGCCCCCAACTTTGAAGGAGAGCACTGGGTTGGGAAAAATGCATCTTTTCACATTAAAAGAAAATTCCTTCTTGTCCCTTCCTCCCTTCCAAGTACTAGGGCTTTGATCAGCCTCACTCCTGTTACCGTTTCCTGAGCTCGGTACCACACTCAGGACAAATCCCGGCGCCCGAGAGAAGGGGTGTGAAGGTAGAATCAGACTTTCTGTTTTCCTGGAAGAGATGTTCATATTCATTTCACATGAGAGAGTAGAAATGATAAAAACGGAGGTGGCTGAAAATGATAAACTCATGTTTATCAGATATAGAGAGTAAACTTATAGTTGGAAAAAGCAAGGGATTGTCAGCAGGAGTGAAAGCTAGAGCTGTATTTCCTTACAGGGGTGAACGTTAATAAGAATGCTGCCCAGGGGGGTGGTGGAAGCAATTCAAAGGTCCTAATACCTGAGCTCAGGGATACACACCTGATCAACAGGAAAACAGTTAAAAAGTAAGACACTTTTCAAAAAGCTTTGTTTCCATACTACTAGTTAGTTTTGAAGTCACAAAGTAAAACTGCAGTGAATGACCGATCTATTATTAGTCGAAAGGGCAATTTTCATCATATCTATTTAACAGAAGTTCTTTCCATCGCTGCTTCTACTTATCATCCAGACAAGTTTCTTTTAGCAGAGAAACAAATGCACTTAACATCAAGTTTCAATTCTTGGCTGAAATGAACTCCTTTTGATTTAGTGATTTTTTTTTTTTTTTGAGACTGAGCCTCAAGCTGACCCCCTGGGTAGAGTGCTGTGACATCACAGCTCACAGCAACCTCCAACTCCTGGGCTCAAGCAAGTTTCCTGCCTCAGCCTCCCAAGTAGCTGGGACCACAGGCACCTGCCACAGCACCTGGCTATTTTTTGGTTGCAGCCGTCATTGTTGTTTGGCGGGCTGGGGCTGGATTTGAACCCGCCACCTTAGGTGTATGTGGCTGGCGCCTTAGCCACTTGAGCCACAGGCAGCAAGCCGATTTAATGATTTTTGATAAGGAATCTTCCTCTGAGCAAGAGCATTCAATCCAAACATACCTTTAGAGGCTTCTGTCCCCAGTGGGTTTTCTAAGAAGTCGTTCATGTCATGGTTCCAGGCATCACGGACAGCAGACTTGGACACTACCCTGCCATTCAGACCCTGCTGTGGTCGAAAGTTGTTTCTCAGATACTCTACCGACTTGACGTGGTCTTGCTGCTCCGTGGTGAAGATGGAATAAAAAGCCTCGAGCTGAACAGAGAAGCAGAGAAGGGAGAAAAAACCAACCCATCAATTAGAAAAGTGATGTGGTCCAAAGCAGGTGAGGGTGATAAGAACACAAAACGGTAGGAAGTGCCCATGCCACGGCTGATGAACCCAGCAGGGCCCAAGGCTGCCTGCGGGAATGGCTGCCAACAGGCTCACCTGGCCATGGTCCTGTATGCCAACAAACCAGGAGAACACGTTATTGGAGGGGTGTACAGAACTCTCTGAGTTTGTGTTTTCTGCAGCACCCCTCCAGAAAGACCTTAGTATGACAGAAAAGAACATAAAATGGTGGCAGAGCCAGGGGTTTCTACAGCAGGACTGCCTGGATTTGAGCTCTAGCTCCACCAGTCACTCAGTCTAGAACCCTGAACAAGCGGCTTTACCATCTCTGAGACTCCACCCTTCCTCCACCAAACGGTGATAATCAGAGTATTTAACCAACATTAAATATTGACAGAACCACTCTGGAAGGCTGAGGTGGGTGAATCACCTGGGCTCAGGAGTTCAAGACCAGCCTGAGCAAGAGTGATATGCCATCCCTACTAAAATTAAAACTAGCCGGATGTTGTGGCAGGCACCTGTAGTCTCAGCTACTTGGGAGGCTGAGGCAATAGGAATGCTCAAACCCAGGAGTTTGGGGTTCCTGTGAACTATGATGTCACAGCACTCAATCCAGAATGAAACTCTGTCTCAAATAAATAAATAAATAAATACTGATAAAACATTTAATCCATGTACATTGCTTAAAATTGTTCTTAGCACGTAGTAAGAGCTTGATAAATATCAGGGATGTAATTCTTTTTTTTTTTTTTTTGAGACAGTCTCACTATGTTGCCCTTGGTAGAGTGCTGTGGCATCATGGCTCACAGCAACCTCCAACTCCTGGGCTTTAAGCAATTCTCTTGCCTCAGCCTCCCAAATAGCTGGGACCACAGGCAACCACCACAACATCTGGCTATTTTTTGTTGCAGTTGTCATTGTTGTTCAGCTGACCTGAACAACAATGGGCGGGTTTGAACCCACTACTCTCGGGGTATGTGGCTGGCACCATAACCACTGTGCTACAAGCGCCGAGTCAGGGATTTAATTCTTATTAGCAAGCATCTTCTAACCTACTGGGAACCAATTTCAGCAAAGCCACCAAGATGCTATATACATGATATGCAAGTTAAACTGCCCAAGGTCAGCATTTACCAGACAGGTAATCATGGACAGGCTTTCTGTAACTCAAGTTTCCTTAACTATAAAAATACAGTAATAGTACCTATCCTGTAATGTTGCTGAAAGATTAAAAGCTATGTAAATTACTTAGTACACAGTAAGTCCTCATTAAAGATCAGCGGTTATCAGTATTATTAATAACATTAAGAAACATGTTCCAGGCTTGGTGCCTGTAGCTCAGTGGTGAGGGCGCCGGCCACATGCACAAGAGCTGGTGGGTTTGAATCCAGCCTAGGCCAACTACAACCAAAAACTAGCCCGGCACCCTCCCAGCTACTTGGGAGGCTGAGGAAAGAGAATTGCTTAAGCTCAAGAGTTAGTGGTTGCTGTGAGCTGTAGCACAACAGCACTCTACCTGGGTGACATAGTAAGACTGTCTCAAACAAACAAAAACATTTTCCACAAAGACTGTTGATTAAACTTTAATGGAAAGCAAAGAGGAAAAAAAATAAATCAGGGCTCCCAGGCATAGTTCTATTATCAAAAGGGCTTCTTTATGGCTCTCAATGTTCTGATCATTAAAAAAGGTCATTCTATTATATACATGGCATAGAGTAGTGACTGGGTGACAAAGACTTGTTCTCCAAGGGCCACAGTTATTCTCGTCACCAGAGAAATGAATGTGAAATGCCCAGCTGTCAAAAATACTAACTTCTTGAGGTAGGAGAAGAAAATGGCATGAGGGAGAGAAGAACGCATGAACCGTCTCTGGCATACCTGGCTCCTCCAGTGCCTGGTGAGAATGCTTCCCCAAGGGGAGAGTGACAAGGTGGGACTGTGTTAGGAAGACGGTTCCAAGCAGGCACTGAGTGACTGCCTGGGTTATGGGGATCCAGAAGGTTGCAGACACCAGCATGTAAAATAAAAAAAGGAATCACTACCTGAGTTTCTGCAAATTCTGGGTGGTCATCTTGAAGCCTGGAACTTAATTCCATTGTCTTTCCAAGAGCCTCAGAGAATGACACGGAAAATAATGGGCTCCAAACAGAAACTCCCTGTCTTTTGCATGAGAAAGTAATGAATTGACATAGTGACTTTAGCCAAGATGAATCATTTAAGTATGTGGACTCTCAATCATTTTTCCTCCCCTCCAATTCTATTATTATATAGCTTCATAATAAAGCCTTTTCATCAAGGTAATGAATAGAAATAGGACCCAGGACTGTCTCTACACAGCCTAAAAGCAAAAGTAGCCTGCTGTTCTCCTGTCATCCCAATTCCCTATGAGTCTCTTACTTCTAAACAGCTCATACAATCTCGATGCAGACTTTGCCCTCCTCCCCCTGTTTTTCTCTCTGCTGTCCTTTCTTTATTCATAGTAAAGAAAGAATGGCAAAAGATGACAGAAAAATCAAGAAAACCGGACTGCTCACTTCACTGAACTCTTACTTACTTACTAAAACTTAGCAGTCAACAAAGACAACTAGAGATGTTGAAAAATCAGCTTCCCCTGGTGATGTGGGCTCACTTGATGGGACTTCCCAAATTAGAACTAAGAGCGTACAGATTCCCAATTTTCTAAGAGAAAAGAACTTTGTCCAGTTCTATGGCAGAAATTAACAAAGACCTGCCCCCCCGCCCCCAGATGGTCCAGTGAAAAGACAAAGCAATATGATTAAAAGGATGGAGAGTAAATCCTGTGAGGAAAGGTTAAAGGCAGTGGAATTGTTTGGCCTGAAGAAAAGATGAATAAGGAGTAATGTGATTAAAGGCCTTGTATGTAGAAGATGCTGGCCAGAGAAGGCCAAAGAAGAGGAACTGGCTGAAATTAAAGCCTTGGAGACGTGAGTTGAATAGAGGGTGGAATTTCTTAACTTTTAGGGTGATTTTTAAAAGAAGGGACTGGGCTGCCATACATAGCAAGTTAGACTGGAAATTCTCTGGAAGGGACAGCTAATTCCCCTGAAATAATTTAATCTCTGAAATGCCAGAAAAGAATGAATGGCCTGGAGACTGTCTCGGCCCCAGACTCTGAGGTCTGTTTATTCTCTAGAATGCTTGCTTCTTCCACAGCTTGCACCGAGTTCTCCTAGAAGTTGATTTCTGATGCCCCAGGAAATAACTAGTCACATAACTGTAGAAAAGAGGCAAGTTCTGCATTTAACACAAAAATGCTTTCACTTAAATTGCTCTTACAGCTTAATGACATGCTATGGCTTAAAAGCTTGGTGGCGTCTTTGTCATTAACTCAACTTGCCCGAAGATTCTGAAGGAAGGATGTGATGCTTCTGAGAGTGAACTGATGACCTGAATGATATTATATTGTCAACTGGATCATAGTTTTGCTTGACAGTCACACAAAAGAGGGAAAGGAGAACAAGCTCATCAAATGTCCTTTGGTAGGCTGGTAGCAATTACTAAAACTCTGTTATTTCTTTAAGTTGAATAAAAATTGCCAGCGGCCTCTTTGGTAACTGGCATGCTTGCCCAGTGAGAGAAGACCTCAGTGATCCTTGGATTGGTGAAGGGGTCTACAGTTCTCACTCTGGCAGAAGAGCAGTGATCATCTGGGCCAGAAACATCCATCATTACACGGCTGCTTTAGGCTGTCCCTTGACCCTCACCCTTGTGTTGGGCTTCCACCTACTGGATTCCAAAGGATGCCATAAGACTACCCCGAGAAGGGGACCCCCAGAGTTGTATAACGAGAAGCCCTGTGCAGTGCGAGAGCCACAGAACCAACTGCCCGAAATGGCATCACTCTGTGCCTCTAACTGTTTGGTGCTTCATCTGTTTGACCCTTCTAGAGCTGGTTAGGCAGCCACACTGTGATCCTATAAAAATGTGCATGAGATCACATCACGCCTCTGTTCAATACCTTTTAAGAGCCTCCCATTCTTAACCTTGAGGCCCGAGTGATCTGCCTTTGCCTAATTCTGCAAATTCAAAACCCTTACTCTTGCTACTTGGATTCAAAATCCTGTTCGTTTTTTTTTTTTTTGTAAACCCTACTTGCTCAACGTGTGATCTTAGACAAATTATTTAATCTTTCTGTGTTTCAGTGTCCTTATTTGTACAATGAAGATAACAGCATTACCTACCTCATGTGGTTTCTGTAACTATTCAATGAGCTACTATCTACATAAAGCATCTGAAACTACTGCTGCCACACAGCAGGTGCTCAGTAAGTGTTATTACCACCTCTATTACTATTATTATTGTTTTATGGGGAATGTGGTAACCATGATTGTACTCTAAGCTTCCAACAGTTATAACATGCTACATGTGCCTGTTACTCCTTTTCTTCCAAATAACCCAAGTCTATAAAACTGTTCTGTGCCAGGTACTATATTAAGCACTTCACAGACATTATTTTGGTTTCTAACTTATTTTTATTATTATGTTTCAAACAATTACAATTAATATTATTAACAACACCATTATAGCATTAACACCAGCAGCTGATACGGAGCGTTGCCGCTTATATGGCAAGGCATTGTGTCAAGAGTGGTATGCGCCTTCTCTTAATCCTCACAGAAATCCCATAAGGCTGGTGGTACTATTATGATTAATAGTAGTATTAGTATTAGTGTTATTGACTAAAAAGGAAAACTGGGCTCAGAGACATAAAATAACATGCCCAAGGTCACACAGCAACCAATGTGAAGTGAGGATTAGAAACTCAGGTCTTGGATGCTCTTGGCCACTTCATGGCACAACTCACATGGCTCAGCATGATTCACTGGAAGAGTCACACTGTGGTAGAGTAATTGTATGTGCTGATAGTAGACATGTCCAAATGATTCCCTGTAGCTGACCCC